ACGAGACCCGCCGAGTCAGCGTAAAGTTGAGACGATCTCTGTTTAATGTCTGAATCTGATAACAGATACAATGATCAGTTTTACATACATTTCCCTCAGTGACTCCTCTCATTGCTTGGAACGTTTACAAAAAGGGAAGAGGAAACGTGAGGGACACAATATATACAAAAAGTAAAATCACAAAGAAAGGAAATTAAAGTCCTCACAACAATAAACTCCTGAGCACAGCTCTCCGACCTTGCCAGGTATTTAACATTCAATAAAATGAAGAACACAGAATACAATAATATAAAACACAGAATGTGTGTGATTATACAAAATTAAATTAAATAAACCCCACTGCATATTTACATCTGTTACACTAACACACACTGCAAGTGCAGCAACAGTCCTCGTCTCTGTAATTAGTTCAGTCCGTAGTCCAAAAGTAACACAAAAATATAAACAATCTCATCTATTCAGGGGATCGGGCCCTATATGGCATGCTATCTGCGGTGCTGATTTTCGGATAGCAGCACCCTGTGCTAATTAAACAACTGCAATAAAACAACTACTTCAGACTGAACACCTGCAGCTAAATCCAGGCAAGCAATGCACAATAACCAACAGAACCACATCAGAAATTGCACACATAGCTACACGGGCAGTTCAGGCAACAGGTATGCACAGAGAGAAAGGGGTGTGCATTTCACTCACCCTATTTGAAGAGGAAGGCCATTCTCCTGTCTTTCATGGTAGCGAAGTGGTCAATAACAATGTCATAGAACTTCCCAGCGGCCTTTAGGTCCTCCACAACAACAGAGTCAATGGATATTGTGGCTAGGTTGACAAGTCTGTCCTGTCCACACGTGTTCCTCAGATACGTTTTGATCCTTTTTAGACAGGAAAAGGAGCGCTCTGCTGATGTGCTGGTGGCTGGTATCGTGAGCATGAGCTGGAGCAGCTTGTAGACCTCGGAGAGTGTGCCCTGTAGGTCATCCTCAATAAGAAGCTGTATCAGCTCTCCTGGTGGCTTGTGAAACAACCTGTTGTTGTACAGCGTGTGCAGCTCATTCCTTAACTTCTGCTCATCAAAGAATGGATACGTGTTGATCAGCTGAGCCAGCTCACTGCTGGGAAATGCATCAGGGTTGCAGAACGATGTGAATGATGTGTGTTCCAGTATCCGAAAAAAGTGCAGGTGCTCCATATCTGCAAATCTTTGGGTCATGTGCAACACTATGCCGTCAACAATCTGGAAGTAAAGACGCCGGAAAGACACAACCGTTTCCTCGTCTCCTTCTTGGTGCTGGTTAAACCCTTGCTCCAGGTCGTCCCAGCCGCGGCGACGTCGTTTACGTCGGGGCACAGGATCGCCGACTGCTTTGACCGTGTCATCGTAAATGCGACTGAATGTCTCATCTGTTCTTGTGGCTTTGAGAGCGCTGAGAGTGCTCATGATCCGATCCTGGCATTTTTTTATGTCCGCTGTCTTGCTTTGCAGAACCTGGAAGAGTGGTTCTGTGAGGCCGAAAATGGACTGAAAGACCCCGAGCAGGAAGGTGAAGTCAAAATCCTCAAGTTTTTGCTTCAAGGAAGCACTCTGTGCAATGGTCTCTTTGTCCCATCCCGGCTCTGTCATTATCCTGTCAAAAGCGATACAGAGCGACCCGCGTCCTTCATGGATGGCGTGTACTGCGCGGCTTTTAAAATTCCACCTCACAGCAGAACCCCCTGGTACACGCACAGCTCGATCAACTTCAGACAGTAGTGCTGATCTCTTACATGAACGTGAGAAAAAATTGTGGAAGGCATCGAGATTGGCAAAAAACAGTTTGGCTGCTTGGATGTTGTTTGTGCCTTGTGCTAAAACCAAATTTAATTTGTGAGCATAGCAGTGGATGAATAGCGCATTGGGGCAGTGTGCTTTCACTAAAGCCTGAACGCCACCGTGCTGTCCACTCATGCAGCTTGCTCCGTCATAAGTCTGACAAATCAGTTTGTTTGTTGGGCTGTAGTTCCCGATGGCTCTCATGACAACTGATGTTACAGCTTTTGCATCTCTTTCTAAGCTGACATCAAAAAACCCGAGGAAACGTTCACACACACTGCCTTTTTCATTCACATATCTGATTATGATAGTGAGTTGGCACTTATTGGAGATGTCTGATGTGTCATCCACTTGTACAGCAATGAAAGGAGAAATGTGTATTTCTTTATCAGTCTCATCCTGGATACAACGAGCTATGCTCTCAATTATGTCATTTTGTATGGTGTTTGACATACCACTGAAGACTGTTGACGATCCCAAGTGCTCCGCGAGTGCAGTGTCAAACTCTGCAAATGCACGTACCAGCTCTACAAAATTGCCCCTGTTAGAGCTGCCAGCGGCCTCATTGTGTCCCCTGAATGCTTGCTCTTGACGTGCAAGGTACAGGGCAGCAATGATGAGTTTCCTCAGAATATCCCGGTTCTTTTTTACTTGTTCGTTGTGCTTCTTTGTGCTAATGGTTCTTGCTACATCCAGAGCCTCGTCAATCCTGACGCGTCTAAAAAGCTTTAATTTCACAGCACAATCTATATGATTTTTAGATTTACCGTGCCTCTCAATTGCCCGTGACAGGTTGGCAAGGTCGATGAATCCTGAAGTTGCCCAAGGATTGTTCAGGGAGCACGAACCCTTGTCAAAAAGAAGACATGGCCAGCAAAATAGACGCTGAAGTTTAGCGCTTCCAGTTAGCCACTCCGTGCGGACATAATTGTCCTCATTGAACGTCCGATTAGATCCCTTATTCCTCTGTGTACACAGCTCGAGTGTGGGCGTTGTCCTGCCATCTGCTTTAATGTTTAGTTGCTGCTGTAGCGGAAGTTTAGTGAAGTTATGCTTAATTAAGTACGCCAAATCTCCTCCCTCCATAATGCTTCATTTGCTTGATCATTTCTAACGGCGGTGATGACAGTTACAGTATTCAAATTGATGTTGATGTGATTGGATGGCAGTGTCCAATCAAATCGCCAGCCGCCAGCCGCCCCTGAAGGGAAGCTAGAGGCGGCTGGCTTCCCCTGGCATGGCCCTGACCAATCACAGGTTGGCAGGGGCATCACGTGGGCCTTATCTGATTGGTTAATCCCTCAATTTTTTTTCACCAAGGGAAGCTAGATTCTGCTGGCCTCCTCTCGCAACAGTGAATGCAATCTACTGTTTCACCATGACATCTAGAGGGGCGCTGTTTCACTCTTTGTAAAATACTCAATGAGAATGGGGGAGAGACGGAGAGACGGTCCGGCAGGAACACACAGGAAAGTAGAATTACAGAAACAAAACAAAGTGTTTTTATTTATTTATTTAAGTTATAACTACAATACGAAAAAACAGGGGAAGCCTGGCTTCCCTTGGCCTCCGGGAGAAAACGCCACTGGTTACTAACTGTATATCTGTAGACTTGGTATGTCTTTAATGTCCGGTTAGGATGTATTAGAACGAAATCTAAAATGAAAATTGTAAATAAGCAATCTGTATGTAAAAAACCACCTGTATGTAAATTGTAAATAAGCCATCTGTATGTCAAATATGTCTTAAATGATATGATGAATTGGAAATGGGGGACCCTGATGTAAACAAGACGAAAGTCTTTCTCTGGTCTGCATCCCCTTAACAATTGTATGTTTTGAGCTGTACTGTACTGTACCCAATATACAAGCTGTTAATACACTTTTCAATCAATCAATCAATCAATCAATCAATCAGAGAGAGATCAGATCAGCTGCTGAGTCTGATGGAGACACGCTGCTCTGCATGATCATCTGGTGCTCCGCCCTCTGTTTAGCGAGTTGACCGGACTGCGCAAAATGCGTAAATGAAGTAATCTTACCCTCGTGGGGGCGCGCTCATGTGATTGGCTTAGAATGAAGGAGACATCTGATTGGCTATAGATAGAAAACATTACAAGTACGAATCGGCTGACCGTCAGGAGAGTCTCAAAAAACCCACACACGAATGCAAAGCGATCCGTGCACAGAAAGCTGTTTGTGTTTACAGGTTCAGGGGATTTAAACGGGAAACTAATAAGTGAGGATCAAAAATACCTATGTAAAACTTTTTTCTGTATTTGGATTTTATTTACATGTATATGAAACGGAATACATTTGTGTGTGCATTGAAAAACACAAGTATGGATCCGGAAATACAAGTTTGAATCCTTCTGTGTGCATGTGTGTATTATGAGACTGTTCTGAGCCCATAGTGGAGTGATGAGGAGGTGTCGGCGTTCTGGCGATTTACTCGGAAGGCTTCTCCCCCAACTCCGGTTTGCGGCCTGCCAGTAAACCCAAATCAGAAGAGGTGACGTCAGCGGCTTTATTTGCGTAATCTTCCCTCAGGGATTTATTCCGGTGTGAACGCCATCTGCTCTTAGTTCCATGGGGGGACCAAATGCTGGGAACTAAGTACAGCAAAGTACTTGGTGTGAATGCGGCTATAGTGTTCTTTTTAACCAAATATCTCGTAGAGGGGCGTGGCACCTTATTTTCATCTAAAGTAACAGACAGAGAATCAGCACTTTTGAAACAATGCATGATCTGTTTGGTATTTCGAGCCAAACACTTCAGAAATATGTTTTGTATATATCCAAGACCTATAATATGAAAAAGAGTATAATAGGAGACCTTTAAGAATTATGTTGGGCAGTTGAATAACATTGAGTCTTTTTTGTATATTGCTTGTGTGCTGATTACATTAAATACTACTTTATTTATTGTGTAATGTGATCACATGACCCATGCTTTAATTGGTCAATTTATTTATTTTACTGCAGTTTTATGCATGCAAGCATGTCCAACGCAAGAAGGATGACATTTCATTTTCTTGACAATTAAGTCATCTGTTATTGATTAATCAAATTACATATAGTGTATATTTGGTTTTAAGGGCATTTAAATGACTTCTTCTCACTTTTGTAACCCTTTTAAACATAAGAAACATGTCTTGTTTAAACAAATTGACTGCACGCATACAGAGGAAATGCAGATAGAAAGCTTCAATCAATCTTTATTGAAATTTGTTTCTATGATTTGACATTAGATTTTTATATAAACTTTCGACACATTCCTGTATCGCCTCAATTCAGTTTGGTCCTATTCATCTGTGGTACCTGCCGAGAGACACAAAAAAAGTGATTGAAAATATCTGCCCATTTAGCAATATGTTTAATTACTAGGTTTGGTAAGGATGTTTGGTACTTACCACACTTATAAAGCTTGTTGATTTTCATCTTGTCAATGCGGCTGAGAGATGATGCCTGGCCCAGCTTTATGTCCTTGCTGTTCTGGTTGTTTTTAGGAATGATGGTTGGGGAGCCATCCTGAGAGTATGCAAACCTAAACATAGACATTTAACATCATAATTCATAAACAAAATTATTATATATTGAGTTATCTACATTTAATTATTACTTACATTCCAAAGTGCATGATTGAGCCATAGTCATAAGGTAAATCCAGACTGTCAGTCTTGAATTTCTCAAAGTTCCTCAAACGATCTGTTGGAAATCGAAAAACAATATCTTACCATCATTTTATTTTGTTGTTTTTATGTAATAAGTGGAACATCTATGTTTTGAAAAGGTTTATAGAAATGCAGTTAATTAAATATATGCTTTGATAAATCGTTTGTGGAGATTTCATTACTCAATGACACCGCCCTTCCCGCCCCTTTGAAATTACCCCTCCAAATGTTTGGCCACATGATGGTGACATAGTTGTCCCTATCAAGGCGGGACTGCTCGTGCACAAAGCCCAGAGCATGCATGAATTCATGGGAGATCACTCCAACCCGGAGGCAGTCAGGGCTCTGAAGAGAAACAGTCTGTCTTCCACCACGCGAACCGAGGTAGGACCAACACCTGGATTAACACACACAGCAATAAATATTAAACAATTTACAGTAAATAAGTGAGTTTAGTGTTGTAACATACAGGAAGAAATACAAAACTAAATTGTAGTTCAAGTTTTAAAATGGGGCTCTTTTAATAATTGCCAAATGTATTCAAACAATGATCGCAGGTTTAATAGTTTCCAAGCAAAGGTTCTCACCCAGTCTTTGGCTGGATTTCAACGTAGTCTCGCTGGTGCGTTCGAGGAACAAACCTCACACAGGTTCCTTTCTCTACGCCATCCATTCCTTTCTTTATCATCTTTGTCTCCATTTCAGCTGTGCATTTGTTTAAACAGAATGAACAGACAATTATTCAATCATCACATTCAAAGTCTATGTATTTAAGATGAAAATTACTGTAAAGTGTGGTAATTGTTAAGACTTAAAAAACTAAAATAGCATACAGTATTTAGGTGAAAGCGAATATGCAACGTAGACATGTCCATCCACTGACTTAGACCAGAGGCAGCTACGAGCAAAGCAAACTTTAGAGCGCCTTCCAGAAGAAACAGCAATGTCTCCCTCTCTGAGAGTGGTAGAGCCGTCTATGAGACGGGAAGCTGAGACAGAAATCAATTAAAATTATATTTTTTTTACACATGGCAAGATGAGGTTGTTTGTCGTGTTAACTACAAAACAATTCAAGTAAAGGGTTTTCAAATTACCTTGAAATTCATTAGCTTTTATGATTTCATCCATTGCTGTCATATCATCGGCATCATGTTCTGAAAAATAATTTGCCGTCAGCTGGTGCATTATCACTGCTATAACATATTAACATTAGATCAAACCCAAATTGCACTTACCTTTATAGCCAATGGGGCCCCATTTTGGGCTGAACAAAAGTTTCTGCAAAAGAAAAACAGAATGTTGTTTGCAATTTTGTTGCAGTCTGTTAAATGTGTTACAACGCAGTCCCACTCCAATCCCCTTACCTGAGCATGTATAGTCGAAATACAGGTAGAAATCAGGCACAAGAGGATAATCTGCTCCATCTTTACCAGTCTGATAGGTCTTCACTGTTGCCATTCTACCTTCACAAACTCCTAGCTTTATAGGTGTTCCCAATCACTGTCCATAGATAATACCCATGATTATCTCAGGTAAATTACCAGGTTACTGTTATTTGTTTGTGAGCTAGTTTAATCCCAAAATTAGTTTGATTCTTTCACAAACAACAACTCCAACTTGGGGATAATGTAAGGTCTCACTGTGGGTAATAACAGCTTCACTTCAATGACTAGCTTTAAATTAAATGGTTCAATGTTTGGCAAAGGTTTTTGGGCAATTTTTGTCTTTGGGTGTCTTAAAAACATACCAGGAGTGTATCTATCTATGTATTCTATCTACTTTGTTACGCTGCTACGTTGCTAATATCACATGATTTACTCTCACAAATTCCAAATGTTAATACAAATAAAGATGTACACCTTCCTAAAATAGTGGTGGAAAAGAAAAAGCTACCGCCCGAACAGGGACTTGAACCCTGGACCCTCAGATTAAAAGTCTGATGCTCTACCGACTGAGCTATCCGGGCTCTGACACGAACACCGGAAGTGCTCTATTTAAAGCGGCGGAAGGGGTTCCAAAACCCTACACCACACCCCTACAAACTATCACTCCTTTCGCGCGGAGGGTCCACCACCACATTTAGTGCTGTTCCAATACAACAAGTGTGGAGGGGGAGCGGGCTATCATGCCCTCCGACAGCGAGTCTGAATCGCACCTGGTTTCACCACTACATGACCGGAATCAATGATGTGTGTGTCCGTCATGAAACGCGCTGTTTACAAAACGTTACTGCAAACATTTACATTGTAAAATGCGCAAAATAATTGACATTTAAAATCGTCATAAAGATGTTAACAACATCGTGGTTAACTCGTATTTTCTTTACTGAGGATCATATACTCGTGTCTTATAGTGTTGTATGTGTACAGGGACTGTAAACTGACCACCAAAGATTTTGAGAGTTTTATTTTTGTTATTTTCTGTCATGGGGAGGCTGATTTCAAACCGTTTTTAAGGCATTCCCTGTTTCTACTGGAGAGAGGGCAGTTCGTCCCAAAGCTTGCTGCTCTTTCACCCTCCACCCGAAATAAGTGACCCTTGTTTAACTTCAAGTGTGACTACAGACGGTGTTCACTTCGTCACGTAGTGAGAGTGTTTTGGAATTGGGCTTTTAATTCTGCTCTTACACATACCATGACCGCTTTTTCTAAACCTTCCCTTATGTCGCAAAATGGAAATTCAAGGGTAAATTGAAGCTAACGTTAGCTAGCTTAATTAGTTAAAGTTAGCTTGATTAGCAAGGTCTGATGTCGTAGGCTATCGAAATACGTTATACTAAAGTTGCACATCTCAAAGAATAATGGCATTATATAAAGAAACTGCTTTGACAACTTGCCTAAATGATAGTGAGTATTGACGTTGGATAAATAGTATGTTACCCTTGTAAGTGACTTCTCGTTGAATTGCAGGAGCGGCAGACCAGAGAGCTACAGCATGCCATCCAAGAAAACAAACGCAAACTGGTGGATGTCCAGCAGAAAAGACAACGTGCCGAGGAAGACATAATTCACTGGTAGGCCTGACGTTACTTTTGACCAAGTATTTTACGTTAGTTTGTTGAAGTTTAAATTAGTCTCCCAGGATTAAACCGTTTGTCTCCACCTGAGGCCTCCCTGTGACGTTGTAGCATACGTCACTCAGCGTTTTTTCTCTCACTATTTTGATATGCCCATTTTGTTTTTACCAAGTTAGCAACTACTTCACACAAGAAAACATTTCATCATCATGGTTATATTTTATTTAAAAATCCAATGCATTATAATTGAAACAGCAAGTGGTTTTCAGGAAAGTTAAGTCAAGGGCAAGCCCTTAACTTACTTTATAAAGATGATTTGTGTTAATTGAGTGTAATATCTTTATTTTCCATCTCTGGTAATTATGCACTCATAGTATGCAATATGCTTACCAAATGTAAAGACACAGCAACCTGTCAATTCAACTTTTTTCACAGGAACATTTTTGACTCATTGCAGAAAAGGCAGAAGGGAAACAAACTGCTTAAATTAATAATAGCTTGGTTTGAGTAATTGTCCAAAAAGTATGGTTTTTATCATAGCTATTCTATTACTGCTTTGACAGTGTCACAATGTCTGCCACGAACAAGGTGTATTCAATGTGTTTTTTAAGGAAAGGGACACTAATTTATTTGTACACAATCAACCTGAATTGCTCTTAAATGTCCATACCTGCTACACAACAGCTTTTAGTTTTATTAAAGGATGAATCAACACTACATTACATACATATACATACATTATTGATTGTGTGTTGTTTATATTTTCTTAATGAGTCTTGTTCTGATTTGCAGTAAGAGAGAAATGAAGAAGAGAGCTGTTTTGATGGTTGAAAAACATGAAGTTGTTGATGCATTGGTGACATTTGGTCATCTGCTGCAAGACGAAAAGCACCTTTCTGAACAACTGAATGGTCAAGCCTCTGCAGACAGGTAATGTATTGTTCTATGAGCATAGACAGAGCAACTTGAGATAAACCTAAATTGATGACCTATAACAGAATGATTTGACTCTATTTATTATCTTTCAAAAATCAAAGGAATGATTTGCAGGAAAGGAGCGAGCGCATCACAAACAAGGCAAAAAGCCTCGCTGCTGAAATCCTGGAGGTGAAAGAGCGTCTGGCAGAGGCAAAAGCTCGTAATATGGCTGGTAAGGAGAGAATGGAGAGTGTCTACAATCTGGTTAACTTGTATTTGATAACAGTAGTTTATAATATTCTATCTTTCCTTTCCCACAGCACAAACTTTGATTCAAACTCCAACCACCAGATCAAAGAGAAACTAAAGTAAATCCAAGTGAATCAAAATTATAATGTTTGCAGATTACAGGCCTATTTTTTTTTATTGCATTTGATATTTAGAATTGTTGTATATATTTGTTGTTGCACCTAATAAAGTCTCTGTTCTAATATTGTCTCACAAACGCTCCTATTTAATATATTTGTACCTTTTCCTCCCACCGTCAAAATACTTCATTCAGCAGTAGAATATGTAAAAAATAAAGAAGATTTATTAGTTTAAAAAGCCAGTGTTGGCTGGTGTATCAGAAACCTCCCAATAAATACAGACACAAATATACAAGTGAGTACAATACACAATGTAATCTATACATATATATAATTAATTATATCTTCTTAGTTGATTTATATTTTGTATAAATAAATATGCAAAGCAACATTTAAAGGAGAAACATTTAAATATTCTTCAAAAAATATAAAGTGGAATAATATTTTTCTGTACAAAGTTATTAAGTGAACGTATTTGTATTTCACCACAGACTGTTGGGACAATAAATGAGTTTTCAACCTTTGCTCTGTTTCTCGTTTGCGCTTTTGACGCTCTCGGGCTTCCGTAAATATGTCATGAGGAAATGCAAGGCAACACATCGTTAGCGCTGCTCTCCGTGACACCCTTTTATGGTAAGTGTTTGCTATTTTTAAGTGAGTTAATTGTAACTTCAACTAGTTGTAACACACTATTATAACTAGTAGAAGAAGGTAGAGATCGTTAAATGAAGATAATGGCTACTATTAGTCACTACACGTGTGGTTCAAAGAGCAGATGGTTACAGTTACATCAGCTAAGATAACGTTAGCTTTCAGAATATAATCAAACTGTTTTTTAGTACGCCAGGTTATTACAGTAATGTTGTCAGAGCTTAACTAAGCTCATAACAACAGGTTAATACAGTTAATTATTGAGGATAAATGGACAATGTTTATCTGTTTTTATTTTTCTAACTTTGCAGGTGATGTGATTTTTTAAAAACAACAATGACGACGAGTTACGAGCATCACTCCATCTTTCACTTGAGCCCAGAGGATGAGGCTTTCATTGGGCTGAGAGAAGTGAACCCCATTCTGAAGCAGGCTGTCAACACTGATCCAGCCTCAGACAGTATGTGTGAACTGTAGCTGTGGTTTCTGTTGTAAAAACAAGTAAAATACCTTAGTTTTCTGTTTGTTTTGATACCTAACTTTGTTTGTTTTTCTCTCAAGAGTTGGAAGACAGATCCCCAGAGGATGACAGACAGCGGGAGTCCAGTCTGGTTAGAGAAGTGTCAGATAAGATGGTCTGCTCAGCCTGCAAGTGCCTTTTTATCAGTCGTGAGGAACAGGTAACAGACAACTACAAACTCTTATCTATTGAGACTTTCTACCACTTAAATAATGATCTGTTAATGTACTAAATACTGCACTGGAGTATGGGTTATCATTTGAGTAAAACATGTTTTTGTTTTTCTAAACAGACTGAGCACTACAAGCTTGACTGGCATCGCTTCAACTTGAGACTAAAGATTTCAGCAATGCCGCCTGTAACAGCTGAGGAGTTTGAGAGGAAGACCGGAGCTGGTAAGAAAACCAAAGTCCGTAAAACCAAAGTCCAAAGCGATGGTTTCTTGTATTTTTTGTTACAATTGTTTGATTTTCCATTCTTGCTTTACAGGAGACATGTCAAGTATCTCAGGCTCAGAGTCCGATTCAGATGAAGACGACTCAGATAGTGAGAGTGGGGGAACGAGCAGCAACGTCACTGGCACAGATAATGAGAGCTCAGTTGAAACCAGTTTGTTTAATGGCCGGCACTCCAGCAAGGTGTTTTTCCAGAACTCAGCCGAACAATATGTATCAGTGTACCGCTGCATTCTGCAGGGAAAGGTGAGCAGCAGGTACACTAAGTACCGTACGGTTTGTGATGTGTATTAAGAGACTTGATTTTTTATTTTAATTCATGTTCTGTCTAAATATTTCAGTCAAATGATGAGCTAGATGCAGCGATCTTCCTGAAGGCCATAAGTAAGAAGACTGTGTGGGTAATTCTCATGACAGGTGGAGGCCACTTTGCTGGTGCTGTATTCCAAGGGTGAGTGGACAGTTTTTTTTTGTTTTGTTTGCTTTCAGCACCTGAGATTACACACCAGGGTTGGAATGAAAAGGAAATCTGTGCGCATTAGCCCAACACAATGTATTTATTTTTACAGAAAAGAAGTCCTTGAGCACAAGACTTTCCACCGATACACAGTGAGAGCGAAGCGAGGCACGGCTCAGGGACTCAGAGACTCTCAGAACCGCAGCCACGCGCCCAAATCTGCAGGAGCTGCTCTGAGGCGATACAATGAGGCGGCGCTAGTCAAGGTAAGATTATAGTAAAAAATAAGAGACAAATATTTCCCCAACGGCTGATGTTACTGTGCTGTATGTCAAATGGCTTATAATGATCATCCATGAAACTGATGGTGCTTTCTGCTGAAAAACATACATTTAGCTAAAGAACCAATACAGTTCTGGTGAGGGTAGCCATCCTCCTGACAACTGTGCTTACTTTTGTGAGCCACATTTATATAGCATTGGCGCTGCTTATTCAGAATTTTTATAAAGTTTCCTTATTCTCAAAGGTACGTTTAAAGTGATCAAATGCTTAGTGTAGGATAATTCCCAAAAATGGACAACAACAATTCTGCTTTTACATGTACAGTTCCATTTATTATTTGTTAATGTTTCCATTAGAGCGTTTTATAAATGATAACAAATCTAAAGTTTTAAAGTGAAATATGTTGGCTTAGTCCATTCTTGAGAGTTTTTTTCTGCACACACAATTAAAATGTGCGGGATCAAGTTTTTCATGTACACACGCTAACGTTTTATATAACCTTTCGCAGGAGATACAGGATCTTCTGGTCTGTTGGGCTGAACACCTAAAGGAGGCTTCTGCCATATTTGTACGAGCACCCAGCTACAATAAAAGCGCCTTTTTCGGAGGCCGTGCTGCTCCGCTGGACAAAAAAGATCCCAGGATCCACACTCTCCCCTTTCCCACACGCAGGGCAACCTTTCGAGAGGCACAGAGGGTACATGATGTGCTTTCAACCGTCCATATTTACGGTAAGCTGAATTATATCTCTGGAATAATGACATGTTATCTGCTCATTCTCATACAGACAGGGTATAATCAATACTGTTTGCTAAATATCTTGGTGCAGCAAAAGACACAGACATGACTGCAGTCTACAGTCCTTCTAAGAAGGCCTGGAAGAAATCCCTCAAACCAACTGCACAAATAGATAAAGGTCCAGAGAAAGGTAAGCATGTACAATGTGGGCTTGCACTCTATTAGACTATATACAAAATACCATGGCACAAATACCCCTACAATAATGATTTGAGATTTACTTTCTGTTCAACTTTATTCTTGGCATTAGCAGAAGAAAACCATGATAGCTCTGATGAAGAAGAGGGTGGAGAGATCCTGCTGGAGATGGTGGAGCAGACCATAGGAACTCTGGACCTTAGAGAGTATGAAATATATCCCTCCAGGCACAGGAGGCGAAGGAGGAGGAAAAAGGAGGAACCCAAGCTGCCTATCGAGGGTAGGTCTGCGCCAGTGTAATGTCACATAGATGGATGTAGCTGATTTAGAAACCTGAGGAATACTTCACATCACATTCTGCAAGGTTTATGACATTTCAACTCCATGTTTGACAGAATTAAGTAACATAGAGGCAGACGAGGAAGTTCCAGAGGAAGTTCCAGAGGATACACCAGCCGAAGACACCCCTCAAGAGACGCAATCAAAGAACAAGAGGAAGAGGAAAGCAAAGAGTACAAAACAACTGGAAGGTAAATATGTACTCCTAAATACTATTGTTTATCATGTTGCACCTGTTTCTCAATCGTACAACCTGCCACACCTGTAAAGTTTGAGAAAGGTATTATTTATCTCTGTGTCTGTAGAAAATGCTGATGATTCCTCGGAGTATGGCCTGAGGGACGAAGTGTTTACAGCCTGTAAGGTGGGGGATGTAGACGCTCTATGTAGACTCCTTCAGCTACCTGGAGAAACGTCAGAGAGTCAAGAGCAGCAGGAGAACAACCCTCTTGATGTGCAAAGTCCTCTAACGCTCCTTAATAAGCCCCTCGACTCCTCGGGGTTCACTTTGCTGCATGTGGCCTCAGCAGCTGCGCAGAAGGCGGTGGTCCGGCTGCTCCTGGATGCAGGGGCAGACCCAGCTTGCAGGTATATTAAATAATATAATTACAGTAAAGGTACAATCTTAGTGTTATCATTTGCGAAAGTGATAACATAATTTCTGCAATATTCCTTTACAGAGACAACAAAGGGCAGCCCCCTTATATTGTCGCCACTGACAAAGACACAAGGAATGTCTTTCGCAAATACATGGGTGAGAATCCTGACAAATATGACTACAGCAAGGCACAGGTAAGAAAGTACCACGCTAACCTTTATACATGTACCCCATTTCAAATGAAAGAGCACTTGTTTTTAACACTTGCACACCTCAAGGTCCCTGGGCCGCTTACAGCAGAGATTGAATCCAAAAAGGCGGAAAAGAAAAAGGCACAAAATGCGATAAAAAAACAGCGAGAAAAAGGGCAGAAGGAAGAAAAGAGGAAACAAGAGTTGGAGGCGGAGGAAAAGAAGAGGTTTGCATCTCTGACTGATCGGGAAAAGGTGAGTTATTCTCAGTTTATCACTGATGTTCATGGTATGATTAAGGTGTTAACTGTTTTCTCCTTGGTTGTAGAGAGCTCTGGCAGCTGAGAAGAGGTTAGCAGAGCAAGTAGCTGCCACAGGAGTCTCCAATGTCAAGTGAGTCCGCTAGAGCCATCCTCTAATTGAGTTAGCTTCTACATGCTTCATGCTTCTACATTTACATTACCAACAATACTGGAAATAATGATGGCTGATCTAACAGGTGCTTTGTTAATATGCCTTATTGTTATTTCCAATGTCTTTGGCTTGTATGTATGGTGTCCATGCTATAGAAGAGCGCCCTCATTGAGTTATGTACTAGCACACGTATGTCGAGTAGTTTTCTCCTAAGGCTGGTATATCAGACACTGGTGAGGACCTAGATTGCCTCTATGCTCAAATCAAGTGCTTTTAAAAAAAAAGGTTTTATAAATGTCAACTAAATTTGGTGTGCTTTTTTGTTTGTCTTTGTGCCCAGGAGGTGCTGGTCGTGTGGAGAGTCTCTGCTTGGGAAGGTCCCATTTCAGTACCTGGAGTATTCGTTCTGCACCCCTCGCTGTGTCCAGGAACACCGTAAAGCCAACACAGTTCAAGGCAAGACCTAACAACCATAAAGAATAATAGAACCATAGAACACTAAATCTTAAATGTGAGAGAGCTACCTCATCAAGACCAGAAGTGGATTTGTGCAGCGTCGATGCAGCATTGAAATCTAATATGGCTGTCATGCCAGGGTGCTCGTTTCATTTTCAAATACCAAACATACATTTTAAATATTTTCTTTTTTTTGGCAATTATCTCAGACAACTGGATACCGTATTACAACTTGTAATCAATGTACTCTTTATTCACAGTATCTGCACCTTTTGGAGAAGGTTCAAAAGCAAATATAATAAAAATAATGAATACTGCTTGTTTATCACTGTCATTTTTCCAAAGGCACAAGTGGCAATATTTGTGTTCCTACAGCTGAATGTAGAGACCATATTTTGATACAAAACTCAGGGACAGATACACAAAAGGCATGTGTAAATCAGACAAAAACAAACAGCTTAATTCTATAAGCAACCTCAAAGGGGAATACAAAATAAGGCCTCATTTAAACAGATTATTATTTCCATCTCCATCTGCAGAAAAAGGCAAATTAAACTCGGCTGTGAATATGCATGGCCGTATTTGTGCTGTAATATCGTTCGTTGGCGCAATATCTTTTGTGAACCTAGATAAAGGACAGATGGCGGGTGTAGAAGATGGAGCTTTCGGTGGCCGCAATACATTCTGTGCTCTGTTAAGGCTTTTCAGCAAGGACATTGAGCTGAGGCCGGTCCATGAAGAGCACCCGTAGGTGAGCTGGGGCCCGCTCCAGTTCCAGCACTGTGATGTTGTTGGGCTGGGTGGTGCTGAGCAGGGGTCCGGGCACATAAAGAGTCTGCTGGGGGCCCCTTGCTGGCCAGTATCGTCCCAGATTCATACCATTGATCCAAACCTGACCCTGATTTAAAAATAATGATAATGAATGTATCACTGTAATCATAAGGTAAACCAACATAGGAAACAAAATTGTTACCTTTGTCCATTCATTGAGCTTGAGGAAGGTGTCCCAGGAAAGGCCGTTAGGCTGCAGAGTCCCCATGTAGATAACTGGTCCAACTGAAGGGTCTTTCTGAGGGGCAGGTGAAGACTTTCCACTGTCTGAATGAGGCCAGCCACTGGTGATGGCTCCATCGATGTCCAAAGGGTAGATCTGCCAGTCAGTCAGGATATCTTTCCCCAGGAACAGGTTGCTCACGAGGCCCTGCAATACAAACACTCTTTACCATCTAACACTTTGTGTAAGCACATTTTGATTACACCTAATGTCATGTTTCATAAAGCATTGTGGTTTGCGACCAACCCTAACTATCAGCGACTATCACTGGTTTTATGGCTGTCAATCCTACCGTTCATGTGTTGGTTATGTAATAGCAAGAGATTCCATTGTATAACTTTAATTGGAGAAAAACTGGTATGGAGAACATTGTTTGAATCCTTTCACTTTGAGAGTTTGAGCACTCGAGGCTCTTATTGTTATACAACTTTATAATTGTGTTGTTTAAAAAAAAAAGATGGTTCTTTTATATATTTAATGACTATTTTTCAAGTATGCAGGCTTAGTTTGAGGCTAAGAGGTGATTATTTACATCAATACTTTTTTATTTGCTGGCCATTATTGAGGCCAAAACACACACAAAACAAAGGATTGATTACTATGAGTTTTACCAAGACAGTATTGAGGTTTGTGGAACCCCAAATAATGTGAGAGTAAAGACAATGCCAACTAAATGAAGAAGTAATTGTGGGAACCAATACAAAAGATATGGGATTAGACATTGTTTTCTTGCCTTATAGTCATTGATCTTGCTGCCAAAGTTCACCCTGCCCATGTTCTCAATGAGGATGTCCAAAGTGTCCCCCTGCTGTCCAGTGACGTTCATCACCAGCACAGTGTCTCTCTCCAACAGACCCTGGAAAACCTTTTCACACGGACACACACATCATCAGTAAGAATCGGAATTTCCACAAGATTTTGTAAACAATCACTTGTGTTTTCCCTATACCTGAACAGAAAAATCTGATTGGCTAGACAACAAAAGATCATTGTAAAGGCTTACCCCATTGACGGACACATATGCACGGTCATGAACCCCATTCAGTGGAGAGATAAGTGGCGTGGGCTCGGAGAGGTCCTGGGGCAGCGTGGTCCGGTACAGCATAAATCCATAGTTCTGCACACAATAGACATGACAGTTTGCAGACACAAACAGTCTAGAAGTTCTCCATGTTTCAAGAGGTTTACTGCACTAGTCCCCCCTCCTCTATTGTGGCCTTCAGACCTACACCATACCTGCTTCATCTCTTCAAACGTCAGAGGATGCTGCGATTTCACCGGCACGGCAGGTGAGATGGTGTTCAACAGATCGCTGACTTTGCCAACCTGGGAAAGAGTTGAGATTAACTACGGCAACCTCTGGCATTTTCACACTTTTTTTCTTTCATTTTGGTTATTGGTAAATAACTGACAGTATTAAAACAAATTAAAGAAACACACATAAAAAGGGAGGGATTTAAATTGTTAAACTTTCGGACGACAAATACAATTTGAGGAGATTGAAAGCTGAAATTCAACTTAGTCCAGAAAGGAACGCCAATTTTTTTCAAAATCGTCGGCACCTTATCAAATTATAGACCAGAGTTCATTAAGTTGAGTGCTCTATCACATCTTTTGTAACGTAACTAGGAGGTTTTTTACAGTTTATGCGATGTAGCCTTCATGTTAACAACATTATAAACGTTTTGAAGTTATACGTCATATTTCTTCCTCGGAAGCAATATGGCAATATCACCTGCCACAAAACATCTGATCGAGCTTGATAATCTAACAGCTACAACCTTTGTGTCTCTACATGCTTATTGCTCTTTAAAAGCTGAAATGATATTACCTTCTTCAGGGTCACAAAGCCATAGGCAAACTTGGGAGTTGCTGGTGGCATGGGGCCAGAGGGAATATCTCTAAACTGTGGAAAGAACAGAGATCCATTCGTCATATGTTAGACATATGAACCAATGTTATGAACCAATGTTATGAACCTCAGTGGGTGGCGGTTCGATCAGTGGTACCTGCTTAATGACGTCTCGGATGGCAAACAGCTTCTCTGTGGGGTCTCCTGCCTCCGACAGCGGGGCATCGTAATCATAACTAGTCACTACTGAGCGGAACCTCGTGTCGTGATCAGCCCCTTCAGGGAGTTACAAAGAGATGAACGCATCATAAACTGAGCTTTAATCTCCATCAAAATCGTGTGTTCAACTGAGATTATCCAACTGATTATGAAAAACCAAAACACGTACCATTCCAGTAACCAAAGTTACTGCCTCCTTCAAACATGTACCTGAGAAGAGAGAGAGGTAGACTGAGTTACTTAGCGGGGGAAACCTGAGCTCATTACATGGAACTTATTCACCTCATGGGAGCAGTTCTATATTTAACTGCTGAGTGATTCATTTTAAGGAAAAGGCTGGCAATAATATATATCCATGTGATTTGATGACAATAACAAAATATAGAACAATGCCAGGAAAGTGTTTACAGAGAAGAGGAGACATACATGTTGACGTTGGCCCCTAATGTTAGCATTTCTGCTAGCACTCTGCTGACCTTCTGAGCATCAACCACAACATGCTGATCCCCCCAGTGGTCCAACCAGCCAGTGTAGAACTCTGAGTTCACCTGTAGCATAAATTGGAAATACTTTTACACCATATGCTCAGATTGATGAGTTAATACTGCATGTTCAAATCTGTGGATCAATGTGTAACTAACCAGTGGACCTTGAGGTTCAAACCTCCTTTGCCTGTCGAAGGCTTTGGTTATGTTGGTGTCTGTATGAGGGGAACAATTGTACAAATTACATCTTTGCGCATGAATAACTTCAGAAAGTAAACAATGTTATTATGGTTGATTATTTTTGACACAGTACCGACCTGTTCCAAAGTCAACTGTGGCATATAATCCCTCCAGAGTCCCACATTTCATGTCCTTGTCTGTGTTTCCATCGGTGGTGAACAGGACTGTGTCTTCCCCCAGAAAGAAGCGAAACAGTGCCCGCAGGTGACGCATGTAGTTGTAGTCACAAGCAAAGTAACTTCCATATTCATTCTCCACCTGAAGTCCAAGAAGGTGATTAATCAAATTCAAATCAATATTGAATTGCCAACTTATAAACTTAGCAACATAACGCTGTACCTGGACAGTGATGATGTTTCCCCCGTTGATATACAGCCACGGCCTCATTTTGGGCAGAAGAACAGAAAGCCAGTTGCTGACTGCCTGGACATAATCTGTATGACAAGAAAAAGCAAATTAATGGAATATTTTGTTGCTTTTTTTAAGACAAAAGGAAACTAACAGTAGGTGCATATTATACCTGCGTCAGCTGAGCGGAGCACGATGTTTGGTTTCTGAAGTAACCACGCTGGCAATCCACCCTGATATTAAGACAACATTTTTGTTTTAACTTATTTTTCAAAATAGGGAACTAACTTTGTTTCTATAGCTGTTCAAAAGTTCAATTTCTCACCATTTCCCACTCTGCACAGATGTACGGTCCGGGACGCAGGATGACCAACAGACCTGTCTGATTAGCCAGATCCAAAAAATGCTCCAGATCTCGGTCCCCTGTGAAGTTTTGGACCCCCTGCACCACTTCATGGAAGTTCCAGGGTACATATCTGTGTGGAGGCAGAGTAACTTTACAGAATAGAAAGAGCATACCTCATAATAGAAGATGTATTTACAAATATGATGTGTTGAACTTACACTTGGATAGCATTCAGTCCAGTCATGTACATCTTTAGGAGTCGGTCCTTCCAGTAGTACCTTGGGATCCTGGAGTAGTGAATACTGCCTGAGATGTACTGAAAAGGCTTTCCATCTTTCAGGAAACAGTTGTTCTTGTAGTCTATAGAGAAGGAGTTTTCTCCAGACACCTGAGAGAGATGGCATGTTCTTTTTAAGTTGTATTTTAAAAACAGGTGGAAGTCTGCATTCACTCTTTAATTTCCATCACATACAATCAGTGGTGGAAGGAACTAGAATGTTCTCAAGTACTGTAGCCTACTTAAATAAAAATGTGGAGGAAGACCTACTTGTACTTGTATTCACTGTTTTCCTTTTACTAAACAACATTTTAAAAGGGATGTACATATTTAATTGTTTTACTTTTATTTGATTGTGAAGGCTTTCATCCCTTGGTTCCTCTTACATTTAGATTAATATTATAGAATATAAAAACAAATGTTCTATTGCCAAAATGTGCCATAGTGTAATGTGGTGAATTCAGGATTTTTTAAGTATTAGAAGTAAAGATGTAAGAGTAATCTGTTGTCTGAATAATCTTTGAATTGAAAGAGTTTCCCAAGTATTAAACAAAGATAAAATGGTTTACTGTTTCTACTTTAAGTGGTAAAACCAAACACATTGCAGAAATGACAGACATGTGAGTGATCAGGTGATCACTCACATTATTAATTCAAGAAGTCAAGTTCCAGGTTCTTTCTTACCAAGTTTCCACTGGCAGATAAACAGGCGAGGATTACTGCAACGAAGAGTAACACACCAACAGCCATGTCCGCTGCCTTGCTGCGAAAAGTGAAGCCAAAACTAAGTCATCACTAACAGAAAGTATTAAACTTCTACTTCATATTAGTTATTAAGCTATGCTGCATACAGCGCTTTAACGGCATCAACGTACTGCCCGCTAAAGCAATGTCACGTGATTCTCGTTGGGTATCTGCAGGGTCCTAAAGAGCGCCGTTTTCCCCTCAGACTCGTCCCGGCTGTATGTACACTAGTTTACCCGGAAAAATACGACACACTTAATTAATAGTCCTCTATTCCTTCTTTTGTGAATACCAAATAACAGAAATAATTTATGAAAATTGTTTCCTCTAATTCGAGATAGTGAAAATAAGTATACCTCAAACTTAAAAAACGATTTACAGTTTGACCTATAGATGTCGCTGTTCAAGCAGAAATGGTTCCGCTGTTCTAGAGAAAAACAACTGAAATAAGTAGCACTCTAATTCTCCTGCATATGTCCATCATGTTATGCAACAACTTTAAAGCTGGCTAGAGTGTCATACAGGTCAAATATCAAAAATGATAAAATGTATAATACAACATGTCCTACATGTCCTGTGTGGGTTAAGGAAAACACTGATAGCCATCATGTGATATACTGCTGTCGCTATACGTGCTGTTATACTATGCATTATGTAGGTAAAGAACAGTTCCATTGTGTTTGGCATGGCAAGGTAACAAAGCAATCAGTTCAGGAAAGGTTTGCTTTATTATAGCTGCAGGACAGGGCCCTTCCTCTGTCCGTCTTCCATGTTGTCTGAATGATGGTTAAAGTTCAACATTTCATCATTTAACTCGTATTTTTATTCATATAACTTTTAAAACTGGAACCCTGCAACCAACACTTTCATTTGTGATGAGAAAGTATATTTAAAAAGGATAATATGAAGTACATTTGCAGTTAATCTTCTGATCACATGAATGTCTGCTAATGTCTCATTCCTTTAAAGAGCACTAGATGGCGCTTCAATGCCTTAATGAGGACCAACGTAAACTGTGATCCTGCCAGAGATGAGGCCATTTCATAGTTTTAGAGTGGTAAAAAATATCGCTTTATAGGCCTACTAAGCTTTATTGAGTTTCTTCCAGTACACATTAATGATGGCGTGCACATCATTATGGTTCAAGAAAGTAGGGGTTAGTTAAGTGGTATTGGAGTAGCTGGTGTGTATAACAGGAACACCAGTTTATGGATCTCTGTTTTGCAAACAAAAAGCAGTCAACCTCGCTAATTTGGGTTGATAACCCCTGCATCTGCTTGCTGGCCTGTCATTGTTTTCATATCTAAACACACACACACACACACACACACACACACACACACACACACACACACACACACACACACACACACACACACACACACACACACACACACACACACACACACACACACACACTTTTCCAGATGTTTTTTTCTCCTTTTTCCAGTCCCACCCCCGCAACAGTAATGAGTGTCCATACAATAATCTCATTTCCTGCACTGCCTCTTTATCCATCAATCTCCATTTTAAGAAGATTGAAAGGTTGGGTGCGCACAATTGCTAATGGCAACAGATCTAAACTGCAGATAGGAGAAATACTATGGCTCTGTGGCTCATTAGCCCACTGTCAGACACAGTCAATTGTCCTGGGAATGAGAGGAGGAACGACATACATGGGCCTGTAATTTGGTTATGAATGTGATAGTGCCTGAGGAGAGCTTGTGAGTATCCCATCTTTGAAGGCCCTGAGCTTGTCGAAAATGGATGTTTAAACCGCAAAAGAAAAACTAGTGACTAATGCACTGAGGACACCACTTACTTTGATACTTTAGCAAGAGTGGAAGTCTAAAGGAAGTGACTGAGACTAATATAAACTCCTAAGAGAGAGACTCTCATTACTGCAGTTGCAGACATTAGCAAATGAGATCAGGTTGCATTCACTACATTGTAGTTTTTTATACTCCTTATTTGACTTTCAAAACGCCGTAGTTAGCTGTTTAATTATTGCATATAGGTACAGACCAGACCTTCCTATAGTAATTGGAGAGGCCTGTCCCTACTGTGATGGAGACACAGAGAAACACTCACCTTAGGGTCGGGCGTCACCTCGATGAAGTCATCTCCCCTGAGTCTGTAATTAGATTGAAGCATCCCCTCTGCCCCTCCAACCCTCTAAATAAGACCTCTTTGTTGTTTCTGCTGGTGGCAGGTGTATTCACCCACCCCCACCTCTACATACCTTCCACCTCCCGGAAATACAGTTCAGTTCATTTAGAACAGCTGATGTTAAAGGGGCACACCAATTTACACTTCTTTATATGGAATATTACGCTGCTTTTACACTATTGGGCCTCTTCCTTAACACTTTGACAAGCGCTGTTAATCCAACCATCAACATGCTGGTTAATGGACAACAGCTCTACATCCTGAGTGTAACTTTGTCAAGTCTGAATTTTAACCAGGACCTGGGTTAGTTTTTTAGACCTGATATAATATATATAAAAAAATATAACATATTTTTATCAGATAGTAAGAAAGTAAAAAAGTTTGTGTTTCTAATTGTGACGTTTGTCAGGGAGTGAAATGAAAGACCCCTCAAAGTAGCATTATGGGAAGGACTCATGGTTTTGTGAAGCTTTGAGACTATGTGTTGGCCCCAAAAGTGTGTTTTAAGCTCAAAGTTCACCAAATTCAAAATTAAAATACTGCTTATGAAATATATAATACCAGGAGCTATTTTGCAACTTTTCCACTGGAAATTATGAAATTAACACTTTTACTTGTGAAATAGTAGCAGTAGCGTACATTATGGTGAATATTTCAATACTTCGTCACATAGCCTACCTACAGAGATAGGCGTCCTGATAAATTAATGTTTTTTTTCTTTCATATCTGCTTGCAAAAATGCGCTGTCTAGAAGCTGGTTCCTTCCTTATTGCATTGAACTTCATTGATTTTTTCACTTTTTTCAATCAAGTCTACCCCTGACACATTGTCAATGCTTTTGTGTTTCACACATTACCTCTCCCAGGGAGGAAATAAAACTGCTCATGTCCTAATGTATGTTTTGTAATAAACTCTCCTCCCATAATAAGGACCACCACTGTCAAATTCTGAACATATAAGGAAAAGCTTATTGATTAGTGATTCAGGGGAAATCTGAATGCTGAGCTGTCTGTGATTCACACCGTTGAATCATATGATATGAGGCATTGCTGCAGAATTCCCCGCAGGTCTCCATATCAGTCCCAAGCTCAGGATATAATGAGGAATGTCCCGTCTCTGTTTTCTCAGGCTATGAATGGCCAGTGAGTCAGTGCTGGGCTCACTGATGCTGATACTCTGGACTCTGAGAGAAAACTGTGCTGAGAAACTAAACAATAAACAACAACATCCTTACATGACAAAGGTTCAGCGGCATGTTATAACTGAGTTCCCTCAGCAGTGGTGTGCATCCTTGGCATATTTTTCCAGTTCTCTTAAAGCAAAAATCCATATATAGGTACAGATCAAGGAAATAAAGTACAATGTTATTGTGGGAGCATTGTAATATGAAGCTTTATAAACAAACAGGAAGTTGACAGTGCGGGGGAGCATGGGAAGTGTGTGAGCTGGGCCTCATTCCTCAGCCTATGGTATGTGTTTGGGGTGCAGGCAGCTCTGAGGAGGAATTTTTGTGGTCAGAAATGTTGAAATCCTGCTGCTTGAACCCGGATGACCATTTTAGCTGATGGAGAGCCTCATTAGGCCAAATGAATCACAGTGATGAGAATCTTTCTTCCGCTCTTCCACCTACTTTTCTAGTTATATGTTGACTGTCAATCCATAAACTTTCACTCATCCTTTTGCTTTATTTCAAGCCGTAGTCGCAGCAGCTACTTTGGTTACTACTTACACATTGATGTATCATAAAGGACCCTCAGTGTTTTTATTATTCTGTTGTGTTGTCTTTTACCTTTTAGTCCTTTACACATTTCCTTATTCATCCTACACAAAACAATACATATTTTACTGAAAATATGTGTGGTAATTGAATCCACAAATCCATACTGCATTACTTATATGTTTGTCCCATCACCTTGTGCCCTCTATCATATAAACAGAGACATTGTAGACGTAGGTGTGAGTAATGCTTTCAATTGGAAACCTGTTGGCTCTGTGGTGTCACAGGATCCGCAGCATAATTTAATAAATGTGGCACGAGTGTTTGTCATCGACCAGATTTACACATTAATGTAATGCTGCCAGCGAGAGTGATCTGATAAAGATTGAATCGCCTTTGTTTATGATATTGTCAGATGTTCTATTTTTTATCTCAAAGTCCACGTTCTCCTCTCACCTCTTTCCATCCATCTTACCTAAACTACATTTGTTTCAATCAATTATAACCTCTCCCTCCCTTCCTCCCTCCCTCTTTGTTTGCTTTGTTCCCTGAGTGTGTCCAATAATCCACTGCTCCTCTGACACAGCGGCCCCCGTCCTGAAAGACGAATAAGCAATGACCACATCAATTTCATTAGTGAAATTCAACAACAAGAATCATTACATCATTAGTCTCATGCGTGGCTTGACTAATCTTCTAATGTGTAGCTTCAACTTGTCATGATATCCATTGACACAATGAAGCTCTTCAACTTGTTAAACCTAATATTCATTTCATATTTTAGACCTTTCTTGATTTACATAACATTGAACTTATATTTCTCTTGCGGTTTCTCACTTTTTTTTTCTTTAAGCATAAACTATAAAAAGCAGATGGTTCCATAATGATATAAATGATCAATGCTTGTTCTGTTGGCACTCTGGATTCAGGCAATCATTCATGGGTGGGTGCTATTTTACGTCATCAAACCTACAGTTAAGTGATTATCATGGTCTGGTTGTGACTAACAGTGCATGGCTGGGTAGAGACTTATCAAACAGTCACTCTCAGTCAGCAGGACCACCATCACATGTGCTCAAGCCAGACTTTCCTATTATTGTTATTCGAAGCTGCAAAAGGGTCCTTCAACCGACCTGAATGACTTTGCCTGAGGTCTTGTCTGCTAATAGGAGGGTCATCACAGACTCTCTGTCTCCATTAGTCCTCCAAATACACAACTCCTCACATGTCATGCTCCTCTTTCACGCTTAATCAGA